AATTTTGGAAAACGCTAGCCAAAATAGTTTAGCTGCTTCTGTAAATGAATCGAGGAGAAATAATCAGTTTTGCCTGCATTTGAAATGGCTCATATACTTTTCTTTGGAATACTTGCACTTATGTGCTCTTGGGAGCAGATACTACAAAGAGAAAAGAGAAGGAGAAATGTTCTTTCTTTTGTGTCCATCACTCTGAACTTCTGACCAACCTAAGCTAGCCCTTAACTGTTCGAATAAATACAGTTTTCTGGTGTTCAGCAGTAAATAAACATAAGCAACTAAGTTCCTTTGACACATTGAGTACAGTGGATGATTTCTAGACTGCATCGAAGGCAACATTCTCTACAACTTACCTGCCTTTCTCTGGGATGCTGTGGGTTGGATCAGCTCTGAGGTAGGACACCAAGTGGAATACCCAAGGCTCCCTGCACTCTGCCGAGGCTAAATGGGGGAGGAAGTTGCCCTTGTTATTTAAAGCACGAAATTGGTGTAGGAGGTGATGAGACCTAGGAAGAGACCGAGTGCATTGGGTTTTAGGATATTTTAGATTGACTGGGTTGGGTGTTTGTGTAGGGTGTGACTGAGAGGCAATATGTGTATGTGGAGAAAAATGAGGCTATGCTTAAAATTAAAGGAAATTGGTAGTGGGTGAGCTGAGTGGGTAGAGATTGGGCATCTCTGGAGTGTGTGCTGGGAGCAGCAGGGTACAGGACTCATTCATGATTTCAGAGAGTAGTTGATAAAGGAAGGTACCTCTGGAGAACACCTTGTCCACCCTCTATCTATCTTGATTGCCACCTTCAATCAAGTTTTGCATATCCTCAGTGATGCAGACTCTATAACCTCTCTAGGCAATCTGTTCCAATGTTTAGAGACTTCAGTACAGACCTTCAGAAAGTCTCATCTGAGTGTGGGGGTCTCTGAGGAAGTCCATGCTGTGTTTTCCCATGTATCAAATAAGTGGTAATGTCAGTCCTTTTTCTCATAGGGGTGTTCAGAAATATAGTGATCATGATTGTGTGAGGTACTACTGCAGCTCATGAAGGTGTATATAGCTTGTTCTTTCAGGCCCTTATTACTCCCCAAATCCTCTTTCCCACTCCCTCTTGGGAATGAAGCTGAACCTGGAGGATGATAGTCTCCACACCTGGGCTAAAATTTTGTTCACACCTGCATTTGGGTGCATTGGTCCAGCTTCAGCCGTGGGTGATCTAAGGAACAAATGTCCAAATTAACCTCCTGAATTTTGCAGAGGTCTCTACAAAGATGTGCTTAAATAGATATATCACTCCTTAAAGATATCCAGGATTTGTTTATCTCTCTTTCCTATAGTTCACTATGTGTAGATGTGTTATTTTTCCAGAACTTTTTTCTTTGACACACAAAGACACTTCAGAATTTCTTTTTGTGTTCCTAATACTGTTGTAGTTCCTTCAAGTCCTATCGGTTGTTTGTGTCATCTTAAGCACTGGAAATGCGCTTAGCTTATTTACTCAGGATTTTCTATCTAGTTTCTATCTAGTCTTCAAGAGTTGTGAAGGAGATGATTGTATTCCAAGCTTTCCAATTGCCTTCCAGGTAAGGGAAACACTGGTGGGTAAGCTTTTTTTCTGATTTTTTTCTTATTTGAAACAAGACTATTGACTTAGCAGGTTGGCTGTAGCAAATAAGATGATGGACTGCAATTGAATGGCAGAATGAAATAAAATATTGAATGGGTAACAGCTGAATGAGGACTCTGTGTCTTTAGGATGTGACCAGTGTAAAGGAAAGGACTTGGAAGGGAAAGTATAAGCTTATGCCCTTGAAGATTTTCTTGGACACAGCTATTGTGAGCAAGACAGGTCTTCATGATCCTTGTATATATTATATGATACATATTTTGTGTAAAATATACACTTAGTGAAATGATGCAGTATACTTTATAGATCAAGAGATTATTCTCTTTCTACTGCTCTAGTTGTTCGAGTTAGTTCTCCTGTATGATATGTAAAAATGTCATGTGATTTATATACACATTTATACTGTGATACTCACTTAGAATCTCTTATATTTATTAGCTCTGACTTTCACCATCTACAACAAAATAAATATAGATACATTCTAGTTAACCATTCTGGACACACTTTATCAAATAGCAGCATGAAAGTCATCCTCTGATCCCCTATCCTGTTTTCCTTCTTCTCCCTTTACTTAAATGCTCCTTTGTTGCATAGCATGAAACTGGATTATGTGAGACTGAGTTGCCTATCATGTCAGAGGGTGTTTCAAAAATGCTATAGCAATGTGGTTCTTTCCTTCCAGAAAGAGTCTTGGTCTTATGAATATTCGCAGAGAGTCCAAGGGATCCAGCAGAAATCAAACCCCCAGGATTTGAAAGTGCTACCTGTTCTTGGAGCAGACACTTTCTGCTTGGACCATACCTTTTTCTGAAATAATAAAAACTGAGGAGTACAAAGAGACAGTGCCATAGAAACTCTGCATCACAACCAAGAGGTAAATTCAGCTTCTCAGTTAATCAAATGAACAGCTTGTTTTTTTTCTATGCATTAACTACAGAGCTGTTGAACATCCTGCTGCTTGCCTAAAGCATGCATGTGGGCCTACCTTCTGCTCTCTAGCCATGGTGTTGACGTGTTACACTTCCCCAAAGCAGTGTCAAAGGGTTTTGTTTAACTGATTTGTTTTAGAAGTCTGCATTAGGCTAAAATGACTTACCTCTTTAGACTGTTAAAGAAAAATTAGCTAGAGACAGGATGGAGATGCATAAACATAGGTGTCTAGTACCACCTAAGGTATCTGTAATTCCTGGCTTAAAACTATGACACAGTCTCTAGCTTTAAAAAAAAATAAAGTTCTGACTAAAATTGCTGTCATTCCTCTAGGATATGCCAAACATGTCTGTGAGATATCCTTTTTACAGAATTTTATCTACTCATATCAACATACTTTAGGCATTGTACAGGACTTAGTTCCCTAGTGTGCCGATGCAAGTCATTGCTAGACGTCCTTGCATGACTGAGGACAAATTAAATTTTTTATTTTTATTTATTTTGGTTGTAGAGAATCACGTTCACATTGTACTGCTGAAGATCTGCACAGGTGCCAGACATTGAGGTAAAAGAACCATGGGTTTTAGTGGGGTGGATTTTTCCTCTGTGTTGCAGACCAGTGCTAGCAAGAGAATTAAGGTGGTGTAACACAGCCACAGCCAGATCCTCGGTGGTGTAACAAAGCCATGCTGATCTGAAGCACCTGAAGCCAAAGGGACCAGCTAGCTTTTCTCATACATATTTTTGAACTCAGAGATGCAGCTCTCAGAAAATAGCCCTTATAAGCAGAGATGGAAAATGTATGCTTTCAAACTGATTACGTGTATCTCAGCAGTTACATTTTGCAACACACTCCCTGACTTAGCAGAAATAAGATCTGTCTGTGGTTTCAGTGATCTTTTCAGAATAACCACACATTTTGCTAGTCAGCTAGTTACTTAGGGGATGGGTGATTTGGATTTGCTCACAATCAATAATGCAATGAGATCTTCTCCCCTTGCACCCCAAATCAGCAGAGAAGCCCCTGGGCCATACACCAAGTACTATTTTTCAGCTTATTTTTCAGGTTCAGAATACCGTATAATTTTACATGTATACCATTTTTAAAGGTTAAAACAGATAACATTTTTTTCTTTCATTTTCTGAGTGGTAGAAAAGCCCTCTGAGACAACTATTGCATATAGTCTCTGAGTGGGAATCAGAATTGCTGCCTAAATTAATATTAAAATTATTAATTAAAACCCCTATAGCAGCAATGGTGTATATAGCAATTAGTTTTATAAGATATATAAAGACAGGGAAATGGAAAGCTATTCCAAGGAAGTCTGATTTAATGAATTCTGGCTGGTGTGTTTTGTTCCTCAGATGGGTGGTTCCAGGTTCTCCTATAGCAAGGAGATATATAGAAAATGCCTTTATATGAACCACATTATGAATCTTCAAATGAACATGGTTTGGAGACACTGTCTTCTAGAATACCTTGGGGAGAGGTGCTGCCAGCACATCTCCTGGAACTCCTTCTCCAGGATAATTTAATAGGAAATACTACCCAGTGCATCTTCTTGGTGCCTCAGACTCAAAGGTTAATATCCTCTGTGGCATCCAGGCTGCAAGTAAAGCCCTGACAGTGGGAAGCAAATCCCTTTAGAAAGTTTCCACCAGTGATTTTTCTTTTTCAGTAGGTTTTAGACAGGGTATCACAACGTCCTGCACACAGTACCAGCTCTGGAAAGAACTGTCATGGCATATGAATGTTACGCAGCTTTGCACTGACATTTTTGGATGGAAGTGACATTTGATTGTTGTGACCTTGCTGCATCTTGTGATGTTCCAGTGCAAAATCAGAGCCTCGTGACATGCGTATTTGATAGATAAATGGCAACTGAATGCCTTGATTTCACATGTCTCTCTCAGGTTAGGACTCCACAGTTTCGATCCTGTGGCAGCCAATCCACCTTGGATTCTTTCCTTTCTTGTTTTCAGGTCCCTAGAGAAAGGCAAAGTTCAGCTTGTTTGCTTCATGTAATTAGGCATGAATTATTAGTGTCCTGGGCTGTGTAAGAAGGCTCCTTTCAGAGAGATTTTTTCTCAGTGTTTTCTGGTAGGATGCAGCTCTATCCCTCTAACAAGGAATTGGCTCATAAGGGGGTTTCTGTATGCAAAAAAACAAAAAAAAAAAAACAAAAAACAAAAAAACACCTTTACAAAAGATGGTAATAAAATCCTTCTTTTAAGCCCTGTTTTAAAGAAAGAGGATTGACCTTCCTTTTAAAAGAAGAAAGTTCAAACTTGCATCAGAACAGGAACTTTGAAAATTACTCCCCTCTGCTTTGCTGTTTTTTCCCCTTCCTAACAGAAATGCAGAGCAGCCCCGAAAATAAAACCCTGGCCTCGCAGAAGCTGGTGTTCGACCTTCACAGGGCAGCCAGCTTTTCACCCAGGAGCGTGCAGGGACTTTATTTCCATGCAAACATTTTAGAGACATTGCTGCATGTTTTCCCCGAGCTCTGAAGAGTGAGCGACCTCCATCCTCCCTCTGGAAGGGCTTTGGGGTGACCCCCCGCTCCCTGTGCCCGTCCACCCAGGGCCCTTCGGTGGGTGCCGAGGAGGAGATCTGGGTGCTGGGGCAGCTGTTGCGCCGAGCAGCTCCGCGCCGCCGAGTTGGGTAACCATAGCAACAGCATCACCGCCAGCATCCTCCTCCTCCTCCTCACTCGCTCTCCTCCTCCTCAGCATCATCAGGAGCAGCAGCAGCAGCAGCCCTGGCAGGAGCCAGAGCCCGGCAGCCGAGGCTGCAGCCAGCCGCCTGCCGTCCCCTACCTGCACCGTCACCCCGCCACAGCACCGGCACCGGCCCCGCTGCTCCCCAACGGGGGCAGGAATAGGGGAGAGGGAGCTGAGGGAGGTGCACTGCAGAGGGATCCCAGACAACCCAGGTAAGAGCCACGGGGCTGCTCGCAAAGTCCCCGTGATCGCTGTGGTGTGTGCCTGGCGTGTGTTTGCGTGCGAGTGTTTGTTGCTAGTTTTTCCGGCTCTCCCCTTCCAACAGCAGGGTGATGACAATTCAAGGCAAGCATGTTTTCTGGCTCGTGGTTCCCGTCTCTGCCATACTGTCCCTCTCCGTCTCCTCCATCCTGATGTATAAGGAATAATAAATCATATTTTAAGAGGTTGTTTGAAAACGGGGTGATTGGGGAACCTGATGTGGTAAGAGTGCCGAACGGCTGTGCTTCCGAAATAAAAGTGGGCAGCAGCAGCACAGCAAAGGTTGACATGGTAATTAATAACCCTTTAAAAAAAAAATTTCATGCGACAACGCACTTCTGTCTCTGCCCACTCCACAAATAAATCTCTCTCATCATATCCAGCAGAGAGCTGTAAACCAGAGAGGTGTATGAATAGCCAAGACTAGCAACCTCACCGTAGTCCAGAACTGGCACATTTACCTTAAGTGCTTCAAAGCCAGACTAAGTCATTGCAATAACAATGCAATCATATCTCTAAATATATATATATGCACACATATATATTTGCAGAAATATCTCTTAAACCTTACACTTTCTAAGCAGAAGAAAAAATGTATCTTCTTAAAGACGTGGGTGTGATGGCCAAGCAGTAAGTGATGCTCACTTCATCTGTGTATGAGAAAGCACGTATTGAATGCATTTTAAAAGGTAGGAATAATAGGTCTAATCCAAAGGTATACAGGGACAGTCCTTTTCATTTTAAAAACAGAAGGGATCCAAAGCTGTGGAGTGTCCTTGTGCAGGCAAATATCTGTGGATGAGTGTGTACATGTCTGGAGAGCGTGAAGGGGGAGAGAATAAGAAGCAACTTTAAGCCAAGCTGTAAGTGTTTGCTATGTAATGACTGCAGAGAGCTCTTTTCACTTCCGTGTAACTAGTATTATATGTATATATTTCTTATTATTACTATGATATATATATATATATATTTTTTTTTTTCCTTTGGTCAGCTGTAAAGAGAATGAGAGCTGCTGCTGCTGTCTCTGTCTCCTTCTCTAACCCCCCTGCTCTCCCTGTCTGGTGTCCTTATCTTCCCCTGTCCTCCCCAAATAATCCTTGTCTGCATGGCTGGAAGTGCCCCTAGCTTTAATGATGATAACCATTTTAACAGAAGGCTTTTGAGCATATGATACAGTCATAACTTTACTTCCTATTTATACTGTAGGGACAGTCTGGATATGACCCAATGCCAAGCCACACATTCAAGGGGCATCTCTGTCTTTTATGTGAAACCTGATTTGAAAATCACAGGGCTTTTTTTTTTTTTTTTTTTTTTTTTTGTCCCAGTCCTGTGTTTTGCTACTTGCTTGCAGATCCCCCTAAATCAGCTGGAGCTGGGAGATAACCTGTGATTTCCCAAAGAGGTATAGAACAGAAAAAACACAGAATTAGGCCCACCTTTTCTATCTGATCATAAACATCTTCCTCCTGCAAGCTACAGGAGAGCAAGGAATTTGTGTAGGCAGGACCTTATGCCTGGTTCTTATGCAGAAATGTTGTAAAAATCACCTGGGACCAATGTCCCATTGCAAGTAAAGTCGATGGGATGAGGGACAGAAAAAGAAAACAGAAGCAAGTTTTTGGAATCAGTGCTATGATTTGCAAAATAATTTCCTTAAGAACCTGACCTTATCATCACTACAGGTCTGCAAAGGGCCATTTGACCCTTGTTAATAACGGTGCTCATGGACATGAAGTTTAACCGAAGGGGATGATTTTGGATCCTTGTGCTATTTAAACAGAGGCACTGTAAGACTACAGTCATCAGGACATTGGACTAATCTAGTCACGTTACAGGGTATTTCTGTACGAGATTTGGTGTCTGCTTCAAATCAGAGAATGTTTCAATTTTGAAACTTCTTCTGGGTAATAACAGGGAATAAAAATACCTATGAAATTGACTCTAAAAAGAGCACAAACCTCATCATGTTTTGGGCATGAAGACATCAGAGACAGGATTAAAATGCTGTTTATACATGTTGCAGAGATCTAAAGTGCACCTCAGTATGGCATGGAGCCGTGATCATCTCTCACAAGCACAAGCAAATGACTGAAGGTCAAAGGGCTTATGTAGTGTTACACTGCAAAACTTCTCCTAGAAATGGCTCTGGAAAAGGCAGGAGATGTACATTTTTTCATAAACACTGTTTTGTTATAAAACTCCTCTGTAGAAAAAGCACTGTGAAGTGCTGTGTGTTTTTGGAAAGTCAGGGCATTGTATCTGATATCAACGTAAACAGCAAAGATTTTTCCCACCTCAAATAACCAATTTTTATTGATTAGTGCCCCTCACCTCTACACCTCTTCCCTTTGTTTAAAATGGAAAGCTTAAGAGGGATTATTTTAATTTGTATTTTTTTTTATCTTATGGCTTGTTCTATTATATTTTATTACTATAGTAATAGAAGAGAACAGTTTTTCTATTGATTTGTGCACAGCTGTTAACAGCTGGTCTCTTGATGCCCACTTAGTGTTGCTCACTAGCGCATTTCTAAGGAAAAAAAAACAAACAAACAAACTATTTTTCTATCTAATGATATTATTAAGTATCTTTTAAAATCCAGATCCTTATTTGCAGTAGTCACCCGCTGTGTCTCTTGGAGCTCAGAACAAAAGAAGACTTGTACAATAGTTGCTGTTCAGAAGTCAGCATTTGCCAACAGGTTGAAACAGGCATCTCTGAAATGCTGCAGCCAGGGCTTTTTTTTTTTTTTTTTTTTTAATAAGGAAGCTGCCGTTTTCCAGATCCTACCACGTAGTAACCCGAGGCAAGAGAAGATTTGATGATCAATGTTGTACCTTGTGTTTAGTTTGACAACGCTATTCATTGTATTTTGAGGCTATGCATAAACTGCCTTTTATTACTCCACTCAGTAATCATACTTTGTGATTCTCCTTGTTTCAATATTGTAATTCTCTGCCTTTACACTATATGGAGATTGGCTAGACCTGCTGCTTAATGAGGCAGACATGTAACCATGGAAAATAAAAGTTTTCCCAGTGAGTAAGGGGAGGATGAGATCTTTTCATCAAAGATTGGACACTCCATATCTGCTTGGTTCCTTTGAAATTACCTGGAGCTGTGGTTTGATAAGGGAATTTTTTTTTTTATTATTTTTTTTTGTCACCACACACCTTTTTGGGTGATCATTCTGGTATTGGCAGGTTCTTAAGTTCAAATTGTACCTGGACCTTACTGTCCACGTAGCAGACACCAGATTTTTGGTTAGCCTTGAAGTGGTCAAGCAGTTGGAGTTGATGATCTTTGTAGGTCCCTTCCAACTGAACTATGTTATTCTGTGCTATTATGTTCTGTTATATTCCATAACTTCACTTGAAAAGGTTGTAACTCCTATCTCATTTATTGGCTCAGGAAGTGCAAGCTCTTAGCCTCTGCTCAGCATCTCCTGGGGTCCATCATCTTCCTTGAAGACAGGTTAAGACCTTCCCCCCAGCTTGGTGAGACAGTCTGTGAGCCCCTGCTTCCCAGCAGCACAACTAGAAGGAACTGAGAAAAGTGTGTCCAAAGGCATGATTAGCACAAGTGTCTCACTGCATTTCTTCTGATCTCCCCTGTATCCAGTTCCCATCCTTGCACACTGGCAGCTCCTGACATGCTGCAAGGGAAGAAGGGCCTGTGATGCAGCATGACCTTTGCTAACACTGCTCCAGGAGGTAATGGGCTGAAACAACCCGCAGTGGTTGTGACTGCTGGGCTGTTCGGAGTCCTGTTTCAGAAGGTCAACAACTCGGCACGCCTGATCTCAACTTGTCAGGCGAGTGAGTCATAAATTGGTTTCTTCCAAATCTAAATCCAAAAAGATATAATTTTATTCTCTCTCTAATCCTATTATTAGTGCCTGCAATGTTAAGGATGCTGTTATTCAGCAGTTTTACTTTTCCCCTGTCTGACTGCAGCAGATGGAGCATCCCAACAAAGTGTAAAAAGAGAGAATTCCTTTTCTATGCTAAGATGCTGCTGACATCCATGTGTTGACGCGAATCAGCAGAGAATCCCTTGCAGAGGGGGATGCTCTCTCCAGTCCACCCACAGACCTTCCAGAAATCTGATGTCACTTCTCTCCCCAGATCAGACATGCCTTGGTGTGATATCTTTGGGACTGGAGCACCCATCCCTCAGATGTGGTTACGTTTCAGTACTGAAACAAGCGGTTTGTGTGGCTGCATCATATAAAGAATGATTCTGGTTCAGCTGATTCCACAGAAAAAATGAAGCTCATCTTCCATGGACACAGAGGGAGCCGCACCATTTACTTTTCTTACTGCAGTTGAGGCACTATAGGTAGATGCACATTTCTGATGTGTAATTGATGTGGTATCTGTTTTCTCATTCTTAGGATCATACATGTAAGACTGTCTAAGCACTATTTTGACCTTATACTGGTATATGAATTTACAAATTTTTTGCTTTTATACTTTCTGATCAGTTTCCAGTAGATATATTTATCTTATTTTCAATTTGTTCTAACTTTTTCTTAGCTATGTGGTATTGTCATGGATAGGCTAGAACTTACACATCATATGGGACTTCAAAGGAGGAATTGCAGATGTTAATCTTTACACTACAGACCTCTAATGATAAAACACAGCAGTGGTGCTTCAAGAAGTCGGTGTCTGTCTCTTTTGCATGGAAATTTCAAATTCTGTCTTCCTGGTAAAAGTGTGGCATTCGAGGATTCACAGCATGCAGCACAATGACAAGTGGGGCTTTCTTAATGTAACTTGGTTTGGGAGGGACCACTCATCTGCTGCCATCACTTAGCAGCATGGGGAGCAGCAGGCTCCTTCTTTGTCCAGTTAGTTGGGCAAACAAATCTTTCCTGTTTTATTTCCATCCAGATCTGTATGACTGGGAACGAATCTGGCACCCTCAGAATCTTTTAACATGT